TCACATTTGTCATTCATGTACATTTGTCGTTAGTCTGTCTTCAACGTTTAACGTTAGTAGTAGTGAGTTAACTGAGAAGTGTTCCGTTTAACAATGGCAGGATTTTCATATCGTGAACAGGCACATATAATTTTTACATGCGGCTGCGCGAATGGTAATGGACGCGAAGCTGCATGGCTGTATTAGATTGCGTTTCCAGGCGGAAGGCAGGCGAATCATCCAAGTTTTTCTGCTGTTTATAGTCGCGTTGCTAAGACAAGATCCGCGGAACCACAAACGATGGATCAAGGAAAAACCCATTCTACAGGCTGTCGGTGACGATCCATGTAACAGCACATGCCAAGTGGCTCTAACATATCGTACATCTCATAGTACCACATGGAGGGTACTTCAAGTGCAGCTCCTGTAATCATATCATTTGCAACATGTCTAGACTCTTTCGCCCTCCGATCACTTACCACAGGAGGATTTTTGCCGATGGTTTAACTAATTGCACTAACTGCCAATTCTTTGTTTGTCTCTTCAGTCTTGTTTACGGATGAGGCAACATTTGGTAGAGATGGAATAACAAATTTACACAGTCAACATTTGTGGGCGGATCGGAATCCCCATGGTACAATACGGACATCCACTAAAAATAACGTTTGAAGCAATACATGGTGTTTCAAAAAGTTCAATATTATTTGAGATGTAAATATTTGAGTAACTATTTAATCTAGACGTTTTCAACTGACTTGAAGTGGAGTAACTACATCGAATCAATCACTGAATCTACTGCAAGGAAAGTTGAGTCACTGTGTCGTGCCAGAAGGTTTTTCTCGTCAGAGTCAATTTTGCACATTTACAAATCTACCATTTGTCCGTACATTGAATACTGTTACCATATCTCCTATTTATCTCAAACTTCTTGATAAAATCCAAAGGAGTATTTGTAATGTAATCGATTCTGACTTGGCATCTCTACTTCAGTCACTTTCTCACCGAGGTAACGTGGCTTCCCTCTGTCTTTTCTACAAATATTTTCATGGCAACTGTTCTAATGAGCTTTTTTTCCTGATGCCCTATTTTTTTCCTGCTGTTCCGATTACATGAATTTAAGCGTGCTACTAGATTGGCATCTAGATTCCACTCGTTTACTGTTGAAATAGTTAAATGCAAACGCCACTTCTACTCCAACAGTTTCTTTTCTTGCACTTCTCGCCTGTGGAACTCTCTTCCGTTTGCTTGCTTTTTTGATAACTACAATCTTCAAAAATTTAAATATAACATCTATCGCTATCTTCTATCTTCTTGAATCCCGTTCATCTTTTTTTATTTCCCCAATCCTTCCTATACTCAGTTTTCTTTTCACTTTTACTCCTTGTTATTCCCTCCGTACTAGTGGCACTCATGCCTTGCTTGGGGGTGAAATGATTAAAATAATGAAACTAAACAGTTTTATTGTTGAGCAAAATAAGTATGTGGATCTCATGAACGATTTCGAAGGTTTTCAGTCTGCCTGCCGCCTGTGACACGGTACACGTCAAGTCGACAGTCCAGAGCTGCTACCAAATACGCTGCCGAATGTTTTGGGTAACCTTTTTCAGGACGACAGTGATTCTCTGCTTGAGTTCCGCTAGGCAAGTAGTAAGAGAGGGAAACCTGTGCCATGGCGTAGGCCGTACGCGTACCGAAAACTTGTGAAATCCTTCATGAAATCCACATACCCGTCCTGTGTATGACGTTAAACTACATCCGCGTCCTGGGTAAGACGATAAACTATGTCCAGCAGCAAGGCCTCTGATTAGGAGGTTTTGAGGAGCATGGAACCACCTCTTAATTGCTGGTGTTCCCAGGTCCACCATGATCCGGGGTGATAGCACCTGTTAGGGTCCCAACTATAGTTAGCCCCCAAACTGGGATTAAAACACTATGTAAGTGTAAAAATAGGTTTTAACCAGAAATACTTTGTAAAAAAATTTATTACCAGCTATACAGTTTTGAAGACAAAATATTACCAGAAATATTAATTTTGTCGGCATTAAATAACCCATTGAGGTGTTGATAAGCCGTAAAACAAAACAAACCAAACCAAATCCACATGGCTTTGAATTTCTCTTTCAAATTTCCATAAATAAATCTTATTTTGCTCAACAATAACGCTGTTTAGTTTCATTTGCCTAGACTACGTAGTTACTCAGATGCTATCAAATTTTTAAACCCCCCTCTCTATCTATTTATTTCTCTCTCTCTCTCTCTCTATATATATATATATATATATATATATATATATACTCATCCACATACATATAAGCCCGTTTCGCTGTATCAAAGCTCATCAGTGTGGCTAGACATCCGATTGCTTCAAGCCGGGATCGAAACCCGATCGATTGGCATCAGTCAGAATCTCTACACCTAAGATATCGGCGCACGGCAGAGAAAAGGAATTTTTAACGTATTATATACGTGATGTATATAAACGCCAAATCAGTAGCCAAGAGCGCTCAATGCATATAAATCCATGAAAGAATGAGCAGCTCTGATTCTGCTCAAAAGTAGCCTACCGGCATAAAAGCGCTCAATGCCATAAGAAATGGCAGAGCTTCAATATTAATTAAAATTTTAATTAAAGTTTTAATAAATATTGAAGCTATGCAATTTCTTATGGCATTGAACGCTTTTATGCCGGTAGGCTACTTTTGAGCAGAATCAGAGCTGCTCATTCTTTCATGGATTTATATATGCTCTAACATGAATTTGGTTGTCCGGTCCTATTTCGGGATGACGGGTTCAGATCCTCTACCATGACACTAGTTTCACTTGTTATTGAGCACATTTTTACCATACTGGCAAGCCTTTCCAGGTGGAACCTTTTTTTTTCTCGACCATTTTAAATCTTGGCTGGATGTTTAATCCTCTCCACCGGGCGGGTTTGTTTTTTCTGTCAAACTCGCCCGGTGATATATAGGGTACTCACATTACTACTACAGCCACTGCCTACCAGCCTTTTGAGCCGGTAGTTAGGCAGTTGGAGCTGGTCTCGTTTTCAGTTCTTAGCTCTTGTCGAACTCTCGGCTTTCGGATAGGAACCCGGACGAGGCTACGCCGAAGAGTAAAATCTCGTCCGGGGAGGTAAACAGACCCGCCCCCGTTTATGCTGGGTCTACGGGGAAATTTTGGCCGAGTCTACGGTCTCCGATTATCCAACATTAAATTCGGCCTTGTGCCACATCCTACCTCCTGCCTCCTGGGGACGTCAGTAAATATTACTGGCTGTCTTATGATTGTGTGCAAGCATATAAAACTGATAGTAGTGACCAGTCACTGCCACCCTGGCTTTTAATATATATATATATATATATATATATATATATACTTTCAGCCTATTCTGAAGGACTAGATAACGATTTGCCTTTAATTAATTTTAGAAAAGGCTATATGAATATCTTTCTTTGGAGACATTCTGAAAATTTGTCAAATTTCTTCAAATCTTAGTCGGGATTCTATATCCTATTTTAAACACACACACACACACACACACACACATATATATATATTTATATAAAGAGTGTTCCAATAATTTGAACCGATTTAAAATGTGAATTAAGTTCAAGCGTCTAATTTTTCTTTTCTTTCAGATTTGGCGGACATTTGGGCGATATTATTTTTCACACATAATTCCCATGACTTGATCCAATAGAGAAATAAATAAATTTTCAATAGCAACACTGATTTATTTACTTCTGATTTTGAAGAAACCCTTATATATAATCCGTCTTAATGAAACACCCTTTATATATATATATATATATATATATATATATGTGTGTGTGTGTGTGTGTGTGTGTGTGTGTGTGTGTGTGTGTGTGTGTAAAATACGTGTTTTCCTTATGTAGGTGAAACGAGCCTATAGCCTAGCGTGCTTTTAGACCGACTCAACTACAAATAGCTTCACGGTAAAGGAGGGTTGAATTATCATAATGAAGGAAAGCATAGATATCACCAAGATATTTCGAAGCCCTTATCTGCTAACTTTTATTTTCGTATCCGACACTTATTTACAATCCGACATTATTTCCTTTTGCTATATGTATTATGTATATGGATGAACGTGTTTGACTAGAAATCAGCGCCAAAATCAGACAAGGGCAACATTTTTCGTGCAGTGGGTCGCATTATCTATAATCTATATAATCTATATCTATATCATAAAGCGGGTTGCACAACTAAAAACATTCATGGTAATTTTTCGTAGTAGGTACCAAAGCTATTTCACTACAGGAAACCATATGCGTAAGAATATACCTTTGAAATAGAGGTAAGTTATTTTGGAAATAAAAATTACAAAAAATGAAGTCTTGTTCTAATATTATCACTGATGACAGTGTTATTAACACATGTCGCTGCGTGGGGTTTATTTCTAATTTATTCCTTTAAAAATAAAAAGATGTATTTTTCTCTGGAATGTTTCCAGTTTCAAAAGCAGAAGATATTTACACGTATGATCTCCCTTAGTGAAAATCGTCAATGGTTTAAAATGGGAAAAACGTTACTTTCATCGAAAGTTTACAAAATTCAAGAAACATTGTACGTCATCATTGTTTATGTATGTGATTTTGTATGAGAATGTGTGAGGGAACAAGTGACAATGATTTGAAACAAAGTTTAAAAAAAAAACTAACGTTATTTTTCTTATGAAATTAAGTTCGCCATTTAGAAAGATCGCAGTTTGCCCATGACTGGTTAAAATGCTTAGCAAATAGAGAAATTTTTTATCATTTTAATATTATTAGTTTATTATTATTAACAAATCGTTCATTTCGCCCTCGTTTTATTATAACGTGTTTGTATAGAATTTGGTACGCTTTTCATGTCTTAGTCAACATATGGTTTATAAAATTATTTTTCTGTTTTCCTTTAAACAATATATTTTCTTAAAAATCGTATTCTTTTTTGATGTTCCTTTTACAGTAGAACCTTCCAGAAAAAAGAGTGAAGTTATGAGTTTTGTTTATTCTCACCGGCAGACAGCCAATTTCGTCCACACGTTTGGAGATTTCCATTTCCTTTTCACAAATCGATTTGCCTTTTATATCACATTGATAATCTCGCCACTTGGCATCCTGTTTAAAGGAGAAAAAAAAGTTTCCATATTTTATTGCAAATACATGCTTTTATATATATTTTTTTAAGTTAAAAATAGTTCTTTAAAATATACGAGGTCTGTTTGAAAATTAACGGGACTCTGTGTGCTATTGTCATCGTCACGGTGAGTTCTTGCCACTGGGCCAGACGATCATTCAAAAAGATCCCGCGATGTTTCTGTCGTTCAGAGCGCGAGAAGAGACAAGAGTTGTGGTTGGACAAATCGTGGATGCTTCACCATGACAATGCACCTGCGCACAACGTCCTGAATATCCGGCAGTTCCTGGCCGAGAAGACCATCGCCATACTGGGACTGGGACAACTTACCTATTCATCTGATCTTGCTTCGTGTGACTTTTTTCTTTTCATCAAGCTCAGGGGGGTTTGTGACCAAAGGGAGCTGTTTTGAAGGCGTGGAGGCAATCAAGAGGGCCGTAATGACGGAGCTGAGGGACATCAAAGAAGAATCCTTCCGGCAGTGCATAGAATCGGGACAGAAAAGGATGGAAAAGCGCATTAGTCCTGAGGGGGGGGGTTACTTTGAAGAGGAAATCATGTAGTTTGTTGTTTGGAATTGAAAGAAATTGTTCGTGACACCAGTTTCGTTACTCTTCAGACAGACCTCGTAAGAGTAAAAGAAAAAGAAATACCTGAGTGACAGACGTTACAAACCTAAGATGTATGGATTTCCTAGACGGGCTAAATACCCGTCCGATGTACAGCAAAAAATTACTTGTAATAAAAGTTCTTTTATTTCTATAAAATTTCTATATAGACATTTTCTGCATGGCGTCTATTTTCTCAAGTCTTTTTTGGTATCTATCTATATTTCTGAGATGTGGTATTATGTACACTATTTACATTATTCGGACTATTGTCCTCATCTTTTTCGCCATATTTATTACAACGTTTCGGCCGTTGTATGCTCCGGCCCTCTTCGGGTGGTTGGAATGTCGAATATGATCTACCAGATAACCTCAATATATGGTGCCACTGCTTTGATATTATCTAAAACCATTGAGAAATTATACTCGGATGTTGAGAGTTATACTTAACATTTCTTGGAGACAATATCCAACTAAATCACAGTTCTATCGACCCATCCCTGATATTTCTGCAATCTTACGTGAACGCACGATGTGCTTTGCAGGAGACTGCTGGCCGGCAAAACAAGAACTTCTTTCTCATTTTTGGGCTGAAAAGTTGTCGGATCCTCATACGTCGAAGTCGATGTGAGAGTCCGTCATACACACACACACACACACATATAAAACTAAGAAAAGAGAAAATTACATTCTTATATATATATATATATATATATATATATATATATATAGAGAGAGAGAGAGAGAGAGAGAGGGAGGGAGGGAGGGAGATGTAATATAACAACAAAGTAATCTTTTGTGTGTGAGGAAGTACTGGTAATATGTTTATTTAAAAAATTTATCATGTCATCAGGTTACCAGTCTCTCACGGAAGTTAGTTTGTAGCAGCGTTGTCACGTTGTTGAACTGTGATATTATTTTGTATTGAATATAATTACGCAATAGGTTCAAGTGGAGATACTATTGCTGTCGTATGAAGAATTTTAGCAGAAGATAGTATAGTGTGATGGATACGACATATGTTATGTCTGGGATTAAGAAATTTCCTAGAGGGGGAACGAGACACGTCTCCTGTGGCTGAACAGCGAAAGGAGGAAGGTTTGTCTCCATTTCTTTTATACTGCTTTATATAACGCCAACTAGCGGACGTTAGGAAAATTACCTGGCAGACCAAGTTAGATAATCTCACAACACATTTCATTAACATTTGAGTTGTAAGTTTTCTACAATTGGTAAAATAATGAAATAAAACCAACAGAAAATAATTTTTTGTTTTGTTTTTAAAGCAAAGCTATGGTTACCAGAGATTATTTGCTCAAGTGGGAATAAAGGGTTCGCGCACATGGATTGTCTGCTCTTGAATCCTTGCTTGTATACTGACCGTTGTAAGCTTTTCATTAATTTCAATTTCATGATTAATTGCAAACGTTCTTTACGTACCTTAAATAGCATCGCAACACAACTGTCACTCAAAAGAAGATTGGGTTCTCCTAGAAACCAGTCGGTATATTCGACTTTATTACCATGGCTCCAAGTGTATGTTCCTTTGTGGTTAATATCATTAAGTCCGATCCAATATAAATGAAGACCTTCGTCTACAATAAAAAAAAGAAAAAGAAATGAAAAAAGAATTTTAAAAAGCAAAAGGTTTCACTTCAGATTAGATGTAAATCACTGTTGGCATTTACATTTACACCTACTCAAATGGAGACCAAATTTTTAAGCTTACTCAACAAATTTTTTACGTCAACTCAAATTGAGTCCAAATTTTTTAGCCCTACTAAAATAGAGGCCAAATTTTTTTTTTATGCCTACTCAAATGAAGGCTAAATTTTTTAAGGTTACTCAACAAATTTTTTACGCCTACTCAAATTGAGTCTAAATTTTTAGACCTACTAAAATGGAGGCCATTTTTTTTTACATCTTAAATGAAGGCCAAATTTTTAAGCTTACTCAACAAATTTTTTACGCCTACTCAAACTGAGTCCAAATTTTTTACGTCTACTAAAATGGAGGCTAAATTTTTTTACGCCTACTTAAATGAAAGCCAAATTTTTAAGCTTACTCAACAAAATTTTTACGCCTATTCAAATTGAGTTCAAATTTTTTACGCCTACTCAAATTGAGTCCAAATTTTTAGGCCTACTAAAATGGAGGCCGATTTTTTTTACGTCTAATCAAATGAACGCCAAATTTTTAAGCTTACTCAACAAATTTTTTACGCCTACTCAAATTGAGTCCAAATTTTTTACGCCTACTCATATTGAGTCCAAATTTTTTTAGGCCTACTAAAATGGAGGCCAATTTTTTTTACGCCTACTTAAATGAAAGCCAAATTTTTAAGCTTACTCAACAATTTTTTTACGCTTACTCAAATTGAGTCCAAATTCTTTAAAAAATGTTTAAAATAACTCCATTTTATTATTCATTTCCAGTTTAATTTTTTGTGTTCTTGATAGATAATCGATTGGTTTATTGATCGACTTTATAATGAAACTGTTTAGTTATTCAGATAAAGACATTTTCAGCGCTGAAACTGTCTTAGCATTTAGATCACTGCTTGAGTATAAAGAGAGGTAGTAATGTCGATATGTTTTATTACATGTTGAAAATCCAACAAATATTACAAATTATGATTTAACATGCCGTTTATGAAATAAATAATTATCAAAAGGATTAGACCTGTCGTGATGTTTTATTTATGACATCACGGCGTAGGTAAATATTCGTGCACAACAGAGCAAAAGGAAGGGATTGACCCGTGTAAAGCGGGATAGGTTTGCTCGTATTAAATAATTATGACAGCATGGGTGAAAAGGTACGATTCGCAGTTCCTGTTTCGAAGCCATCATTTCAGAAAGGCACATGTCAGCAAAAAATACCGGTTCCAAGTAAGGAGTTTCGGGACACTTTCGGGCAAAGAATGAAATAAAACGAAAATAGAATTGTTTTTATAAATAGTTCTCTTAGAAATATACTTTGGTGTTTTATTGTGCATTTTTATTTCAAAATTAATTAAATTGTCAATATTTTAATGAAAATTATAGTAGATAACAATAATTAATTAATTTGTTTGTTTAACGGCATATCAACTACTTATGGGTCATTTAATGCCGAAAGTTAATTTTTTGGGAGCTTTGAAGTAATAAAAATATGATGAATGTTATTCTGCTTTCACAGTTGTATATATTGTAGATGATACTCAACTTTTGTGCATATACATGTTTGTGTGGACATAATTACTAGAGGCTGATATGTATTTATGTCGTAGTTTCATTAAAGGTAAATTTTGGAATACAGTTTGATTTCTAAGAAATTGTAGGATATTATATGGATTAATGTCATGAAAGAATTCTTTCATGTTGGTTGTTTGATTTTGTTTAGCGGCATATTGACACCTCTATGGGTTATTCAATGTTGAAATCTAAATATTTTGAACACAATTTTATGGCTTCAAATAAATATATTTTGAACACAATTGTATGCCTTCAGCTACAGATAAAATATATTGGTAATTTTTTATATAAAAATGTGTTGGTGGTATTTTTACTACAACAATGTATTTTTAATAATTTCATAGTGTTAAATTTTTGGGAGGGGGTCACTATTTTTCCATAGATGAGACCCTAACAGGTGCTAACACCCCAGCAATTAAAGATAGTTCTACGCTTTTCAAAACCTCCAACCTCCAGATCAAAGGACTTGCTGCCGGAGAGTAGATAAAATGTTTGAAATAAAGTATTAAAACGAAAAATATAGGTATATTTTTTTAAAAGTGCAATATGTAAATTAAAATTGTATGTAAAATTTTGATCTTTCTTATTTGGTCATATAAAAATTAATTCAATGTTTTTTAATTTTTTTTTTATTATAGGACAGGTATAAGCAATCTTTTGCGAACACGGGATCACTTGAGATATAGTTTCATCATAATGCGGGTCACGCTACTAAAAAACTGATTTTTTTTTATTGGCGGTGCTGCAGCCATTTTCACCACAGAAGATCACGCGTGCCAGCATCTGCCTTAGAAATGGTAAAAATCGATATTTTTCTTAGGAGAAAAGATTATTTCTGTAATGAAAAAACCTGAAGTTTTGGTATAATATTATCTCTATTGACAAGTGGGATTAATGTGCGTTGATGTGTTTGATTTGTTTCCAATTTATTCATTTGATAAAGCAAAGATATTTTCTTAATAAAATTATATTTCTTCTCTTGAGAAAAAATATTAAGAACGTTTCTTGTTTTTACGGCAAATGAAGGCTTATGGCCATATCATGTTGAAACATTGGTTCCTGTACGATCACCGATGATAAGCAACGTCGATCCTGGCGCGTCCCTAGATGGGTGACCGGTTGGGAATACCAGGTGTTGTAAGATTGGATATACGAGTGGTGTAGTGTGTAATGATTCGGAATTGTTAATCGGAGAGCCGAGTTCGAATTCCCATTGGGTTCGTTATATTCATTTATGCGCAAATAACCTTTGGAAAGGCATGAATCCAACACGTCTTCCTCCAGCTATGGGTTAATTAGTACGGCGTTTATCATTAAATCATTATTATCTCCAAATAAAAAAAAATTCTTATAATCCGAAAATATACTCTGGGTTTAAATAATCTGCAAAGAATTGATAAACCGTAGAAAACAAATCAGTGATGTATGAGACAATGTGAGTGAACAAGTGAGGACGAAACGAAACAAAATTTGAATAAACGTTATTTTTTTCATGAAATTATGCGTTACATTCAAAAGGTCAAACGGGCCGCGTGTAACCTGTCGACCGTAGTTTTCTCGTGACTGCCATAGGACATTGCTTTGCCGTCGGGTACTTGATTGTAAAAATATGATAACGTTTCACTGAATGAATTTTACTAGTATTGCTAATCTGACACTAAATGAACAGTTTAAGGAAATAATTATTCAGTAACTGTACGATGGATTGGGATAGCAAAGAAAATTAAAACCTAAAATAAATACATTCTTATTGTCGTCCGAAGGAGCAAAATATGCCTTCCTAAAACTAAGAAGGTATTAAGAGATAGGAAAATGTTTTACAAACAAAGAAATAAGTTTTAAACTGCTGTGTTATATCTAATCTCCTATAAATGCATGAATGAATTAATTTCTCAACTAATGCTTTTGTCCGACTAAAGCTTAATAAGTAGCTACAATGTAAAAATTTGGATATCAATGTTATCTTCAATATTATTTACTGTCATAATATATTATCACATTTCAGAGCTACATTATTGAATGCTTGAAGGGATACAGCAGACGATTATCTCCCTTTGGTGGAGACATGAGTCACGAGACGGACCCCTTAGTGACGTCACCTCATACAGCGACGAAAGCGGCAGTCAATTTCAGTTTGTTTACAGTAACCAAACGTAGAGGTTGCTTTCTTTACCCTACCACTCACCATCGCAGAGGCTAAATATGCCTTCCCAGCAGTGGTATAAAAATCTCTTTGAGAACAAAGCATGTTTTTCATTTGTTTTCTTTCAGACATTCTATTCTGTCAATGAATTATTATATTATAATATCACCGATATAATAATGCCCATAATGAGGGAAATACAGATGGGGAAATAAAACTTTCTCCCATAATTCTCTCCCGTTACATGTTTATTATGAAATAGATTTCCAATAGTTAAGCAAAATGCTATACATATTCACATCAGAAACAATTTGTACTTGCCACCATTGTGTTTATTCTTCGCTCTGTTGAATGACTCTGCCGACAAGGTTGGTTATGTCGTCTGCTTTGATGACGATTGTTTAGCGCCAACCTCAACCACGAAGAGGATACTGTATACATATATATGTGTATGTATTTATTCAGATTACTCCATTATAGTATTAAGAGGAAGATATTGGAAGATTGTGTAACGACAGACAAACATAAAACACTTTCTGCATACATATGTATATACTTAGATTAATCTAGTATAAGAATAAGTGGATGATACTGGAAGATTATGTAGCGCTAAGCGCAACCATCAAGCAGACACTTTATACATGTATATGTATGAGTGCGTTTTCTTAGATTAGTCCTTTATAGATTCAAGAGGAAGTTCTTGGAAGATTATGTAGCCATAAAATTAGCCTTCAAATAGACAGTATGTATATGTGAGAATACATTTATTTAAGTTAGTTCCTTATAGGTCTAATAGGCGGTTATTGGAAGATGGTGTAGCGCCAAAAGCCAGCAAATCGACAGTATGCATATTTTATTTGCATATGAATTTATTCAGATTATTCTTCGTTCTTGGTATGATGATAAACTACATCCGGCAGCAAAGCCTCTGATCAGGAGGTTTTGAGAAGCGTGGAACCACCTCTTAATTATTATTGGTCTCAGGTCCATCTGACCAAGGGGGGTAGTACCTGTTAGGGTCATAGATATGGGAAATAGTTAAACCGAAAACTGGGGTCAAAAACCTATGAAAGCATAAACATATTGTATTAAAAACACCAGCAATACATATTTGAAAAAAAAATACCAAAGCACTCAAGAAAATTAAATTTCGGCATTAAATGGCCCATAAGGTGTTGATATGCCGTTACACAAACCAAAACCAAATTAAAATATTCTATTGTAGGACCAAGACGAATTGTTGGAAGAATATTTAGCGCCAACCTCAATCATCAAGCAGACACTAAGTGTATGTGTATTTATTAAAATTGCAGTCTGAAGAGGTTATTGAAAGATTATGTAGGGCTAATCTCAATAATCAAGCAGAGAACGTGTGTGTGTATTTGTATGCGTATGTGTATGTGTGTATGTGAGTGTGGGTGCGTGTATATTGGCGTGTGCATTTATTCAGATTATTCTATTTTAGGACAAAAGCGAATAATTGGAAGAATATGTAGCGCCAACCTCAATAATCAAGCAGAAAATGTGTGCGTGCGCGCGCGCATTGTAGAAATAAAGAAACTAACAAGCATCGAGAATGTTTTCCGCAAACGTTTGTTCAGTTCCGCTGTCGATCGAAATAAGATCACCACCGATTTTACGGCAATGTTTCCTTGCATCGTGCCACGTGTATGTTTCATCCACAACTTTGTAGCATTTGTCGTTAAAGATCTTCCAATCCGAAGCGCAATGATAATAATATTCAGCTAGAAAGAGCAAAAAAAAAAGAAGAAAAAGAGAATATTTATTAAACCCAAAATGAAAACAAATAAAAAAATATCATTAGAACAATCGATAAAGTTATACAAAAGAATAAAATAAATTCAATAAATTCATCACACACCATCGATTTTATAACCTTAATGCTAAATATAACGAACATTACATTGAAAGATAAATATTTTATTAATATATACCCCTCCATATATATATATATATATAGATAGATAGATAGATAGATAGATAGATAATATTAGTGGTCAATATATATATATATATATATATGAATTCCCAGGAGGAGAGAATCCAGGTAGAACTCAATGTCCAGGATAGAGTAAGAATATAATATACAAGGCTCAAACCCTAATATTCCATGGTTATAATTTATTACATTGGAATCGTAATCACGATCCAATTTATCAGATCTACAAATTCAAAAAGAAGTGGGAAAATATAACTCCGGGTATAAAAAAAACAAATTTGCTTTTTATACCCGGAGTTATATTTTCCTGATGAATTGGATTATGATTCCAGTGTAATAAATTATAACCATGGAATATTAGTGTTTGAGCATTTTATATTTTGTAAATATATATATATATATGTGTGTGTGTGTGTGTGTGTGTGTATGTGTGTAGTAAAGTTAACAGATCAGTTAGTATATAATCCAAGTTGATCCTAGTAGTATAAAGTATTAAAACTGGTCCACAAAAAGAATTCAATGTATTAATAAATACATTGAATTCTTACAAAGCAAATAATTAATAAACAATAAAATGCAAAATCACCTCATATGGGGAATAGCTTATTTCGGTAGACGAAGATATCGCTCGTCTGTCTTATCAACCCCGAAAACAGACGACCGATATCTTCGTGATTTGGGTTTTCATTGTTATATATATATATTATACACTGTTACATTAGAACATGTAAGTTACTACTACAAAGTTGTACATTTTGTTTCGATGTTTAATAAACAACGTTTCATCAGGTAGTTAATGATCATTGTTAATTACCTGATGAGACGTTGTTTATTAAACGTCGAAACAAAATGTACAATTTTGTAGTAGTAACTTACATGTTCTAATGTAACAGTTTATAATAAATATTTATTGCTCTATTCTTGTATTGAGCGCTGTTTTTAAATGAATGTTTTGAACATTTGAATTGTATTCTTTGTTCTTTTACATTTGTGTTTATATAACAAAAATGAAAGGACGAAAAATATGTAAGAATGTTGGAAAAACTAAATAAAAAAATAATCACATTTTCCTTGTCTGTCATATTCAACGAAATATATATATTTACGACCTGCGTCTGCTATTCCGCGACCGTTATCGTCGCATAGTAATCTTCTATGTTAGCATAATAGAATATCATCTTTGATATTGAATATCTTTGTTTAAATGTCCGTATAACCACTCTGAAGATGGCTCATGTGAGAAATTAAAGCAAAGAACGGCTCATGATCAAACATAATAGATGTTCATTGTCTGTTATATTTAACAATATATATAATATATATATACCCAAGTATAGGATTGGTGTATACGAAATAAATTCTAATAACCAACAAATACTATTCTTAAGAGAGTGCTCAATACAGAGTAGAGCAAATATAATTATTTATTCGAAAATTATAACATAAATATGTTATAAAATCACTACAAAAATAGCCATTTTGTTTCAACACGTCTGCTGTTGAATGTAGAATAAAGGGTTTTAAAAGGTTACATTCGACACCATCACTTGATAAGACACCAGAAGACATAAATAATAATGATAATAATAATAATAATAATAATAATATATATATATATATATATATATATATATATGAATAAAGACAAAATGAAAACTTATCTTAGTTGATGCGTTTCGTCTTCTGGGAGACCTTTACAAGGCAAATGTAAGGATTTTATTTTGTGAAAAGTATTTATATACAAGAGCAAAAATATTATTGGTTTTCCCAAATTTTTGGTATCGTAGTGCTCCTGAATAGTCATCAGGTCAGGCGAAAAGTCACGCAAGTTTATATTGAAATTTATTAAAAATTTAATAACTTTAATCATTTACTAATTAAAGCTTTCTACTGATAACGAATTAATGTCGGCTGTCAACAAAATGGGATGACACACATTGATGAGTTAAAGCTAAACAACATTTCTGCTATGTCATGAATGAAACCAGCCTCAACAAGATGTCAGATTTAAAGCCAATATTAAAATAAAAAGAAAAGAAAGAAGAAAAATTATTCATTCATTCTGTTTCCTACCAACTTCCACATTTGTTCCATCGATTTCTTGTGGGCGGGGGTGAAATAAGACTTTTCATTATTTACATTATTCGGACTATTGTCCTCATCTTTGTCGCCATATTTATTACAACGTTTCGGCCGTTGTACGTTCCGGCCTTCTTCAGGTGGTTGGAATTTCAAACTGAACACTTTATTTCGCACACTGGGGTAGACTGTTCATGTTTAATGGATGTCACTTATCAGTTCTTATGTTAATTCACCTCTGCAAGTTCTCCACTGCCTTAACCGGGTATTGAACTCACACTCTTTGGCTCCTGACTCTAGATCTAACAAACGCCTTTATTCACAGGACATCTGTGTATGAATTTCTGGGTATTATAAACCTAATGTCATCAGAAACCGTTTTTTACTAGTGTTCATATTGCAATTTTTGCTGTTATCAATTAATGTTTTTACCAGAGCTCATATTCTGTTATTATTGCTTTTCTCTAGCACTGCTTATTACTGGTTCCCATATTGTATTCATTTCTATGCTTGGTCGTCTCAGGAGATTTTTGTAGCCTAGCATATGTGCTGATTCCTTAAGTTTACGAATTTTCCAATGGTGTTCTTTGTCTACCTGATCCCACAAAGGGTGGTGATCTCCCTTTTCTCTCCATATGTGGTCAGCCACGCCTGGTTTTTTCACTTGCCCTTGTGTTACAGCTTTCTAGTGTTCTTGAAGCCTTACCTTAAGGGGGCGGCCTGTCTCCCTTTTATATTTCTTTTCGTTGTAATAAATATGGCGACAAAGATGAGGACAATAGTCCGAATAATGTAAATAGTGTATATAATACCTCATCTCAGAAATATAGACAGATACTGAAGACTTTTCATGTGGACGAATGTATTGGGTTTTCAGATAAATTCATTCGTTTATTCTAATGTTATTTAAATTGAAAAATATTTTATCGTCGTGTTTTATACTTTTTGTACTTCTCTTATTCCTCTATAACTTTTATCGTTTTTTAAATTAGATTAAAGTTTATTTTGATGAAATACCAAGCAGACAAACATGTGCATTGGAAAAGAGAAAATTACCTTCCAGAAGTTAAGCAAAGTATTAATAAACTAGAAATTTTCATTAGAATCAAAGAAAAGAGTACTGAACTGATATATAATATTGGTCTTATACAACAGTGAATGCTTCTGAGAGATGAAGAAGATACTTAAGGTAAAAGAAATGTGGTTCTACAGAAGGATGCTGAGAATACCATTAATGCAACATGTGGAAGTTTTAAGGGGAATTTAAACAAAAGAGACATTTCTCCTTAGAATCAGAAAGAGATAAGTGAAAGTTCTAGGGCACATAATGAGGAAAGAAGGCTTGGAGAATTTGACACTCACAGGACATAATGAAGGAGGGAGACAGGAAATCAGCGAATTAACGAGCTTATGCAAATGACTGGAAGAACAAGGATTAGGAAAGATAGCAAAATGACAAAATTTAATAAGAGCTACAAAGGACAGGAAATGTGGAGAGCCATGATCACCAACATCCAGAATGGATATAACACAGAGAAGAAACATTGAAATATATATATTTTTTTTAGATAAATTTTTTCGTTTTTTCCAATATTGTTTGAATTAACGCGCAAAATATTTTCTACTGTTGAGTTTTATGGGTTTTTGAGGAACACTATTCAGCCTCTACATCTTTTGTTTATCGTTTTAGAAATTAGATTGAATTTTACGTTTTTACACATATAAAGATGGAGTGTCAAGTAGACAAAAATGAGCTTTTTTGACACGTGTTTCTCTTTGCTTTTTATCAAGTTAATTACTTTTTTTATCTTCTTAAATATACAGTACGAACAAATATACAAACAAATGGAGGCATCCATAGAAAGTCGATTTTTGTATCTTTTTGTATCAAGTGAATGTTGTGGTATTGATGCTGGTCTATGATTCCCTTGATTTTGTACAAATTACCAATTCCTGCTGCTGAGAATGTACCTCAAACGTTGATTTTTTTTATCGTGTTTAACAGTGCCTTTGGTAGTCACTGGAGTACTCGGTTCACCGGGCGTACATCAAATACGTATTCGTCCTTCATATCTAAGAGTAAAGAGGCTCTCGTCACTTTACATATTATCTTCTCAATCAGAGTTAATCCAGTGTAAATGAGCTTTGAACAGTGATCGTCCAGGTACGAAGGGTTTCTTTTTATGTATTTGGAAACAATGCCTTTTGCTTTAAGCCTGCGTCTGACTGTTCTTAAAAAAAAAACCGTCAAACTAGCCGCTCTTGTTCTGCTGCGAATCGATCTTTTTTGCCTTAACGAACCAAGTTTCTATCTTCCCAGTCGGTAGTTTTTAGCGGTCAGCCAGACCCGCTACGTCTATTATATGTTCCAGTTTGATTTTTCTTGTTGATTAACTTGCGGACACATGACTCACTTCGATTAATCTTATCAGCTATCGATCTATTCGACAGCCCAAGATCATGAAAAACAGCGACTTGGCTTTTCTCGAAGCCAGAACAATGCTTAGGCATTTTAATAAATGTAAATACAAATGGAATAAGCTTTATATCTTTTTCATCACCATTTCTATGGGTGCGTCCATTTTTTTCCTCTCTGTAGGTTTGTAAAAATCATCTATTAATTAATGGTTTCTACCTATAAAGCATTAATGTCGACCGTCAATAACGGTCGGACGGTGAGCATTGATGGGTTAAAGTAAAACATTTCTGGTTTGGTTTATTTTGTTTTACGGCATATTAACCTCAATGGGTCATTTAATGCCGACAACATTTTTAGGATAGATTCGTATGAATAGAATATGTATTCTTTGATTTAGATTGGTTTGGTTTATTTTGCTTTACGGCATATCAACCTCAATGGGTCATTTAATGCCGACAACATTTTTAGGATAGATTCGTATGAATAGAATATGTATTCTTTGGTTTAGATTGGTTTGGTTTATTTTCTTTTACGGCATATCAATCTCAATGGGTTATTTAATGCCGACAACATTTTTAGGATAGATTCGTATGAATAGAATATGTATTCTTTGATTTAGATTGGTTTGGTTTATTTTGTTTTACGGCATATCAAACTCAATGGGTTATTTAATGCCGACAACATTTTGAGGATAGATTCATATGAATATAATATGTATTCTTTTGTTTAGATTGGTTTGGTTTATTTTGTTTTACGGTATATCAATCTCAATGGGTTATTTAATGCCGACAACATTTTTAGGATAGATTCGTATGAATAGAATATGTATTCTTTGGTTTAGATTGGTTTGGTTTATTTTGTCAACCCAATGACACACCAACCCCAATGGGCTACTCAATGCCGACAAAATTCTTTATTGCTGGTAATATTTTGTTTTGTTAAAAATCTGTCTCTGTTAATATTTTTCCTTCAAAAGTGTATTGCTGGTAATATTCTTTCTAAAAAAGTATTGCTGGTAATAGTTAAGTATTTACCCATAGCTGGGACCCTAACAGGTGCTACCACCCCGGGTCAGTGTGGACCTGGGAACACCGGCAATTAAGAGGTGGTTCCACGCTCCTCAAAACCTCCTGATCAGAAGCCCTTCTGCTGGACGTAGTTTAATGTCTTACCCAGGACGTACAACATTTCTACTTCATCAGGAAGGAAACCAGCCTCAACAGATTTGAAGCAGGTATTTAAAAAAGTCCCAGAATATTCGTTCATTAATTTGATTTCTTATCAACTTGTAATGATCATTTTATCGACTTCTCTAAGGATTCAACTCAGCCCTTTCAACATAGAGGAATATATGTTAACGTTGTAGACCCCCCCTTGAAATGTACGATTAGGGCTGCTGTCTCTTGAGGGAACCTATATTATTTCTTTTTTTTTTTTTTTTTTACTATTGTTCATCCAAGCCAAGAGCCACTTAAGGTAGAAGGTTGCCGAATGAGATTATTGTAAGGGCATAAAGAAAGGCGATAAGAAGTGTATATTATGAGGGCAGATAAAGAGTTTCCATAGAGTTGAAGAGATTAAAATTTATTGTTGTCGAGGAAGCATTCTCTTGAGAGTCTGTTCCAAAGAATAATACTTCTGGAGAAGAAGCTCTCTGAATCGAACTCAGAAAGGAATAGGAAGGGAATGTAGATGGGTTGAAGTTGTGTAAGTGGCATGGCGGGTCCTTGCTGTGAAGTTTCTGAACTGGTGAATCTAAGTAACGTAGTTCGTCTGAACATTTACAATTGATAGAGTCGTGACAAGATGGCTACATTTTGTCTGTGGAGAAAGGGTTGCAGATTGGAAAAAAGGAAGTGCAGGTTTAATCCTTTCTTACTTACATGATATTGTTGTTGGAAGTGGTAGCGTTGTTGGCGTAAGTTCAGTCGCTACAAAAGATAATTAATATTTTTTATGACGGTGATAAAAATTCATTTCTTTTCGTAGAATTGGAAAGAAATACAAGAAAGAGATTCTGTTAAAGAATGGATTTAAAAAGTCTTGCCTTCTTTTTTACATATGTAGCCATTTCTGGTTCTGCAGTCGCTGTCATACCAAAACGAAGAGGATTTTGCTAATAGTGCACAGTTTTCCTTTTGGTCCAGATTATCTGGTTGTCCTGAAATTAAAATAAATCAACATTAGCACTACCCAAAAACTCCTAATTTCCCTCTGAAAGTTCTCCACTGCCTTAAGCTCAAGGACACATGGCACAGTGGATAAAGACGTTGGTTAGATCCAGTGACAGGACCCAAAGAGTGTGAGTTCAATACCAGGTTAAGGCAGTGGAGAACTTTCAGAGGAAAATTAACAGGAGATAACTGATAACTGACATCCATCAAACATGGCACGTGGAACTAGAACAGTCTACCCCAGTGAGCGAAATAAAGGATTCAGTTCGAAATTCCAACAACCTGAAGAAGGCCGAAACGTTGTGATAAATATGGCGACAAAGATGAGGACAATAGTGTAAATAATGTACATAATACCTCATCTCAGAAATATAGACACATTATTTATTACATTGTTTATTTACAAGAATAATTTTATATTCATAGGGTTATAAAGATACGTGAAGCATCTGTCTATATTTCTGAGATGAGATATTGTAACTCCACTATTTACGCTGTTCAGTCCGTTGTCCTCATTTTTGTTGTCATATTCACGACGTCGTACGCTCCGGACACATGGCCCAGTGGATAAAAGCGTTAGTTGAAGTAATCCAGTGACTTGCCCCAAAGTGTTGTGAGTTCAATACCTGGCCACAGCAGAGGTGAACAAAAACTTTGAGAGTTGAGTTACTAAAGGGAGATAACTGATACTGAAATATCCGGAATAGACATGGCACGTGGAACTAAAACAATCTACCCCGGTGGATGAAATGAAAGGTTCAGTTCGAAATTCCAATCATCTGAAGAAGGCCAGAGAGGACAATGGTCGAAATGTCGTAAATAAGACAAGAAAGATGAGGACAACAGTTCGAAAATGTAAATAGTGTAAACAATTAGAGTGCAATATTTATTATTTAATATATTATAAATAAATATAAAAACAGATTTTTTTCATAAATATATTAAAATATCTGTGAACTCATAAGAAATAAAATTTAAATAAACAGAACCACGAGTAACAGTAATTATGAATTTTGAAAGTGGTATTTTCTGGATATTTCTTTCATTTGGTCTTGCTACATAAATTCACTAAAATAGGTTGTGATCATCTGGATTTATACTTTTTCCCTAGAGAACTGACAACAAAAATGTTAAACATTATTCCTTTGACTTTTTATTTAGAAGAATAGTTTTTAGCATTTTTGTTGACAGTTCTCGAGAAGAAAGAAAACTATAAACCAGTTTCATGTTTAGAATTCCAAAACTGGATTTTTAAAGAAAAGAAAATTGTCGAGTGGGTTTACAGCAATAGCAGTAATAGTAATTATTCGATCAGATGAAATCCACTCTTCAGTTTCACCATATCAGACCTTTACGGTTATGTCCAAAGAGTATAACCACACAGATTTCATCTGTATTCCATTTGCATTAACAATGTTCCACACAGTAAGTTTTTTCCCCGAGAACTGCTACTTTGGATTCTTCTCTGAATACTACAGTTTTAACCTCTTCATGTCAAGGGTCAATCGCTGTCTATCCTGCTTATTCTCATAATCCTCATTTTCATATACCGACTCTTATGTTCATATCACACCTGAATCAATAACTTCCAACAATGAATGTTCCTGAAGATTTATATTTGGTGAACTTTAGTATAATAAAGTAGACCCAGCATAGGTATTAATGGCATATGGGAGTCACTAATCAGTAAGTAACCTACTATGGATTTGAGTAACATTAATAACTATATTAAATGCCAGATAATGACAGATTTCGTGCATTTTGTGCATTTACAGCTTAATGCTGATTCTTATGTAATTTGACCAGTAGAATCACATGGTGTCAATTAAAATTAATTTTGAGCAATATTAATAAGAATATGAGAAACTTAATAATGCTTCAGTTCTTATGCCCTTAAAATGCGATCATTGGCAAGATTTACCCAAGTTCACGGGTGGGTAGAGTACACCGCACAGGCAAAGACCCTCCCCAAAACTCATAAATATATGACGTGGGTGAGACATGACACGTATGAAAGGGAATGCGCATGTTTTTTTAGAACAAGTGTCGACCTTCCAAAATGTAACAGAATTCTAAGAAAAGTAGATCGGCTGAAACGCTGTAATCATACTTATTATAAAACCCAGGTTGTGTTTGTGTGTGTGTGTGTGTGTGTGTGTGTGTGTGTGTACGTTTATATATTGGATCGGATTTCCTACATTTTTCAACCGATTTCAACAAAACTTCACAGGACTACGTAAAATTACCTTGCGGTGGTTCTGACAGCGCCAAAAATTGGAAAAACACAATTGTTTTTGCACAAAATATATTTGAAAACACGATTAAGAGTCATCGCGAGAATGAGAGGGGGACAACTCATATCGAGTTATACTTATTATAAAACCCAGGTTGTTTGTTTGTGTGTGTGTGTGTGTTCGTTTATATATTGGATCGGATTTCCTACATTTTTCAACTGATTTCAACAAAACTTCACTTTTTTTTGGCAGGTAGTGTTTCTTATTGTCTGACTTAACCTGGTATTGAGCTCACACTCTTTGGGTCCTGTCACTGGATCTAACCAACGCCTTTATCCATTGTGCCATGTGTCCTTGAGGTTAAGGCAGTGGAGAACTTTCAGAGGGAAATTAGCAGGAAATAACTGATAACTGACATCCATCAAACATGGCACGTGGAACTAGAACAGTCTACCCCAGTGAGCGAAATAAAGGATTCAGTTCGAAATTCCAACCACCTGAAGAAGGCCGGAGCGTACAACGGCCGAAATGTTTTGATAAATATGGCGACAAAGATGAGGACAATAGTCTGAATAATGTAATTAATGTATCTAATAAATAATATTTAATATTTTTGTTGTCATTTCTCTAGCAAAAAGAAAATGTAGATATACGGTTTTATATGCTCGGGTTTTATTAAAATTTTAAATATTTCTAAGGAAATATACTATAAATATTACCAAGAGAAAAGCAGTCCTTTTCACACACCGTTTTTGTTTTGTATTTTTTTTTTTTTTTTTTGCGGGTGTGTTAGTTATACTCTTCCGAGATTCCATTAATGTCTTTTGATACAAATCCCTCGCCAAATTATTAAAAATCCTGACCGACCCAGATTGAAGCATAAAGAAGTCTCTTGATGTATCGACATTGGTTGGAGAATTGGAGGTCATTTTAAGAAGAAGAGAAAAAAGGAAAAATGTCTGAAGTAATGTTAAGAGGATCCTTTGTATCTGCTGGAACATCGCGAACTATCAAGGGACAAACATACAATAGAACCGTCTTAGCAAATCCAATAATCAATAAGAGCATTTGTTTGTAGCCTGGAGCCACAGTTAGAAAACACGATTGCTTCATAACAAATCGATCCCAAAAGAAGAATATGTCAATAAGAGCAGATGTGAAATCTTCTTATTCTTTTCTCTTTTATTGAAATGAAATGTTATTTTTGATTCTTTCAAATTTCGTATCATGTATTGTGTCTGCTTATAAAATGTACAACTTGTAATAAAGAATATTCATTGTAAAATACTTTCAATTACAGCCATATATAAATGTGTAATCAATTTGATTAAAACTGTTTAATGTATAAATAAACTAATAAAATAATGTATAAATAACGTAATGTTTCTTCTCTTGTGCCTATCTTCTCTTCTCTCTATAGAACCTTCTTCAAGCTTCTTGCTTTCATGTCAACAACAATTGACAAATATGTAAAGGCAACATCAATCGTCATCTTCTGTCTCCTTGATTCATGTTTTATTTGTCCTTTTCACAGTTTTCTTCACTTTATTGTCATTCATCCTTGGTAACACCCTTCTGTCTTAGTGGCTTTATTGCTTTACTTGGGGTGAAATGAATAAAAAATTCTTAACAATTTATATATTATTTGATAATATTTTTCATTAATATTATATAAGATTATAATTTTATTAGATTTATATTATATATTAGAATTTTATTGGATTTATATTATATATTAGAATTTTATTGGATTTATATTATATATTAGAATTTTATTAGAATTATGTTATATAATATTATGATTTTATTGGATTTATATTATATTTGAATTTTATTAGAGTTATATTATATAATATTGTAATTTTATTAGATTTATATTATACATGGTGTCCATAAAGTTCGTGTGCACTTTAAAAAAATTATAACTTTATTTGTATTTACGATAGAAATAATTTGTAAAAAGGATTAGAAAGAAGTAAATCTATATTTTTTAAGATACTATTGAAATTTTATTTAAGTTTCCACATGTCCTCCATCATTAGCAATACAAAGGGTAATACGATATTGCAGTTCACGGAAAACATTTACCAACTGATTTACAGTAATGCCTGAAATCACATTAGTTATTTTAGCTATACTTAAAACTAGGTACATTAAACTTTATAACATTTTTTACAGATTATTTCTATCGTAAATACAAATAAAGTTATAAATTTTTTAAAGTGCACACGAACTTTATGGACACCCTGTATAATATTAGAATTTTATTAGAACTGGGTGGCAACTGGTCTAAGAAATGAACAACGCTGAAACCTGAGGAAAGTAGTGTTTTTTTTAGTAATACTTTGTGTACTTTATCAAAGGACGCCTTATTGTTAAGACTACATTGACTTCTCACTTGTCTGGCTGTTAATTCTAGATTACTTACCGAGACTCTCACAATCTTTTTTTTTTTCGTATCTCTTGTTTAACTTTTCTTGTTTTCCAGTTTTCTTTGTACTTAAAACACTTCCACTAGTATCAAACATCTGCCTGGCACGCTTTCGTTGAGTTAACTCCCCTTTCAGAGCTACGATCTTCATCTTTCTTTAAGCAGAAATTTTAGCTGTGATTTTAGTGTAAAATAGTGAACTAATGTTCATCTACAACGACTTGTAAAGGCACCTTACGCTCATCTTAATAAGATGGAACAATTCCTACTTAGAAATTTGCATGTTATAATTTGGGCATCTTAGATCTCTCATTGTCTGAATAGTTTTGCATGTTCTTCAACCTGCATAAAGCAGTGTATCTTCTGTTTCACGGCACCTACGAAGAGGCCACAACTTATTTTCCAACCTTCAAGGTCCACATTGATTTGTTATAAAAGCAAACTGTTAAACAATCTTAACTTCTTAATAAAATAAAAGGTGTATAACGATTTTTTGTAGCTGGTTCAAAACTCTTACTGGTATAAATGATATATCACGTGGGTAGACATGTTTGAGTGGACCCCTGTTTTTTTTTTTTAAACAATGACATTCTAGTAGAGACCGAAACTTTTATTAAAGAAACTATGATTCGAATTTGTATTCCTTTTATATGAAGAACGAAATTGTTTTGTCACTAAGAAAATATCTCTGTTTGTTTGACCGTTATTTTAACCGGTATAATAAAGTTGTTGTTGTTGTTGCTGCTGCTGCTGCTGTTGTTGTTGTTGTTGTTCTTCTTCTTCTTCTTCTTCTTCTTCTTCTTTTTCGCGTTCTTCTTCGCGTTCTTCTTCTTTTTTCTGTTCTTCTTTTTTCCTTCTTTTCTACTTTTTCTTCTCTTTCTCCTTTTCCGTTTCTTTCTTTTCTTTCTTCTTCATTTTCTTCTTTTTCCTTCTTCTCATACATCTAGGTTAACTAATCGCTAACTAAAAACAGTACACCATTTCCAACAGCATTTCTTGTTTTTTTTTTTGTTTTTTTTTTATTGTAAACGACATCTGTTTCTCTTTCTCGTCTGTAAGGCTGAGTCATAATTACGCAGTAAGTGGTGTAAATGATGTCTTTTATTTTTTTAATGTAGATATAAAAACACTCCTTTAGGAAAAAAATATGGAATTAAGAATTGCTCATATCCATACACTGTCGCAGATTTTGTTCTGACAGAATAGACAGGAAATAGATCTTTTTTTTTCTGAAAAAAGAGTGTTACCCCGTGTGACAACATTTATACCTTCATATTTGCCGTCCGACGTTTTACTACTGAACTATATCTGAAAGGGGACATTGAATACATGTGAAATTTCCCCAAGGAAAAAATGGTTCATTTACCTGTGCCCCAGTTGAAATAACTCATTGGACTATAATCATTCCAATGCCATTCTGACTCTCTCGTGAGATCGTTTGCTCCAAGCCACAATCCTATTGACTGGAAGTTCCGAATACGTCCTCAAACAAAATAAAAAGACAAGAATTATCATCAAATTCTTCTTCAAAAAAAAAAAAAAAAAAAAAAAAAAAAAAAAAAAAAAGAAAAAAGAATTGTTAATTTAGCCAAGGAAATATTGGAAACCGTTTTACTAACTAAAGAGATTCTCAACTCAGTACATTGGAATCATTTATCAGATCAATTTTGTGAACTGAGTTACCTCCCTTAATGTCATACTAGATTAATTTGGATTGTTTTTTTTTTTTTTTGTTTTATCTAATAGAAATAGATAATATTGAATCATTTATTTTTTGATTTAAAAATATAGACCAGTGGATTAATATGACTGGTGAGCGTAAAGTACATAATGTATATAGACTTTACAAATGTCTACACAGGAAAAGCATCTATAATTTACAATATTACCACTGTTTAACCATAATATCTCTGTAAATCTATCATCTATAATTTACCATATTATGTCTGTAAATCTATCATCTATATTTTATTATATGACCTCTGTAAAGTTATCATCGATAATTAATAATATTACCTTCATGAATTTTACATGCTGTTGCATGAAATATATGATATATACAATATATATTTATTTATGTAACTAAAATCACTGCTAGCTAATGGGAAATATTTAATCTTTATTGCCATTATAAAAACTCGACAGCCGTCTGCTAAAAAGAAATATTTTATTAACAGATCGCGACAGCTATTAGGGAGATGTGATTAAATATAGTTTAATGTTTAAAAACAATTATTCAGTATTATTATTGTTTAAGTGATAAGCATTATAACATAGCACAAATATCTATATTGTGGAAAAAGGAATTTTTGACAATATACACATTTTTTACATATTTATGGTTATTTTTTAAAACTTTTATCAAAACCGACATTCTTGTACACATAGTTATGAATAATATTATACATTAATTACTACTTTTTTTTCAATTAATAATTACTTGTGTTCCGTTGTTGTCATTAATGCTATCTGCTGATGTGTTAAAATTTTGGAATAATGCAATAATATAAATTTAAATTTCATCCCTCTGACAGATATCGCGATCTGCTAGCATACAGTGAATTATACTGAAGTACAGTTAGTTACTGGCTGTTTTACTTTTGTTGGGGGTCACTGGTTTCCTTGCTGGTTGTTCTGAAAAGTACTTTTGATTTTGTATAAAGTTTTATTCACTTTAAGCGAAGTCACACATAAGAACTTTGACTTTCGGAATGACTTTTGCGCTGACGTGGAAGTCTGGTAGCGATGAAGACCCAATGTAGTGCACAGGCTTAAAGTGCTGGAAGTTTGTAGGTGAAATCCTGCACGCAGGCAGTTTGAGGCAAGCTTTTGGTAAATGCAGCAAGTGGCCGGCTTGCTTGTAAAACCCGTGGCTTAAAGTCTAAGTCACTCGCTGGACTGATGAGTAACCGGAGACGTCAAGTCATAGAAATAATTTTACTCGGATCCAAGTTGACTTCCCACCACACACATATGCACACACACAAACACTCGAGCCGGTCTCAAAAGTCATGCTCTTCATAGGCATGCTGGAATAACGCAGCATCAAGCAGTAAACATCATTTGATTGCATGAAACACGAAAGCGAAATAAAACAGCTAACAGTGTTCCTGTTGTACTTCTATGCCATGCTTTTTCCTCTAGGCTTTGTGGTCTTTGGTGCAATTCTCGAGCCGGCCTCAAACGTCATAGGCATGCAGATAATTAATAGGTGGTCGTCACAACCTTCTACGTCGAACTTGACTTGCGAATCCATCATATATATATATATATATATATATATATATATATATGTGTGTGTGTGTGTATAGTGTGTATTTAGGCAGCATTTTTCATTAATGCATGTTTCATTAAATAATATAACAAGTTTTGTCTATATATTTTAAGTAAATTCTTCATATTGTCGAATAAGCTTTTTAGCATTACCACTGAAACACGAAAGAAAATCACTATGTTAATACATATTTTTATTGTTAATCCTGTCTCAGCTTTCGGCTTTACATAATATATATATATATATATATATATATATATATATATATATATATATATATATATATACACCTAGACAAACCTACCTAGGTTTTCACCTATATGGATCGTCAGAGAAATTTGGCTCAACGAAATGTCTTTGACGATCCGTTTAGGTGAAACCTAGGTAGGTTTGTCTGGCTCACAAGGTGTATCTAGGTCTGCTCTACGGTTGTATTGAGCTCTTTTGTTAGTTGTTTACACGTATCGGGGTTTTTTCTTTGGGCTTCAAACCTGCATCTGTGTGATTTTTTTCGACAGACTTTCATGTTTGTAGCTCTTTCTTTTTTAAAACCTTTTTTTCCCTCGAGATTGATTTTATTATTGGCAAATCAAAAATTCGAGGGTTTTTCGAAACGAGTATAGTTATCTATATTTGTATGTATGAATAAAAGTAATGGATTTTTATTAATCCGACAGATTGTTTAACACTTTAAACGTTATTTTAAGTGGATACTCATATTTGAGTAGACGCTCCGTTTATTTATTAAACAGTATATTTATTTATTTCCGTCTACCGGCCTGATTGTTTTAATAGATGTTTAATAAATAACAGACCATCTACTCAAAAACGAGTATCCACTAATAATAATATATATATATATCAGTGGTGACTTCGGAGCTCGGGTGTGTCGGGCTTAGCCTGAGTTAGTCAACATTGAAGTATATCTATTTCAAACTAACAAAAATCTTTCGTAGTGCGTCATTTTCATTCTTAACTTCAGCTGGATCCAAAATTAATCGTTTTAACTCCGTGTCTCAAAATATTGACAGAAATACATTCATTGTTCATAATAAAGAATAAAGAAAAAAAGAAAGAAAGAAAGCAAGTAAGTGAAAAAAGAACGAAATAAAATTAACGTAGGCAGCGTAGATCTGCGACTTATCAAACCTGGAGACATACTTAATAGACAATGTATTTCTTGCTTTAACTTTATAAATAATCTTTTAAAAATCTCTAATGACTTGTACGCCCTGTTTTTCAAAGAACACATTTTTATTTCAACATATTGTTTCCAAAAGTCCATTTTAAATAATTTATTTCATACAGTATAATTTTTCTAGTGGAATTTATTTTTTGAGAAAGGGCAAATTAAATTTAGCCCGACTTAAATTCGGTGAAAACCAAAATAGTGGCAGCTGGAAGGTTGGTGTGACTGGGTAGTGTTGAGGAAATATAATATCAGTCAGCAGTACTGATCATAATTGTACAATAAATTAAACTAAAAATTCACAGACAGAGAGATACATAAGCACACTAGCGCATAGACTTAGGTACAATCGCACATTCTGCGATCAGTGACTTGATAAAACAATAAAAAAAAATGAAAAGGGGGGCAATAAACAGACCAACATATCAAAAACTTTGTCCTCACTCATTTTTCTTACATGTCTGGAAAATCTTTTTAAAATAAATGTTTATTTTTATAGAAATATTACAATTAATATTAAAATACCAAACTGTATTTTTTTTTTAATATCATGCACAGAAATTTTTTAAAATTTTATATTTTAATGAGAGCATCTCAGTGATATCAAGAGTATATTTTGTTAAAGACAAACTTATTGTAATTCTGATCGATGTGATGGTGCTTTTTGAAAACACGCTTGAATGCGCTGTTATAATTATTTTTAATAGGTTTGTCTTTGCAATACACCACTGAGGATGATTGCGGAGGAGATCGAAAGTACTTGAGTAAAAAAACTACGGCGCTTTCTTTGATTAGAGAACCAGAAAAGATTGTTATAAAAATAGACATAATATGTCTATATTATTTAATGAAATATGTTTGAATATATATATATATATATATATATATATATGTATATATGTGTGTGTGTGTGTGTGTGTGTGTGTGTGTGTGTGTGTTCTTCGTGCCATATGTGATATAAAATAGGATGACAGGGTCAAGAATAGTGCAATACTGAAGAAATGTAACAACATCACAGGCATTGAAACTATTCTAGCAAATATACAACTTAGGTGGGCTGGTCATGTTGTGAGAATGGCTGAGCATAGGCTTCCAAAAATGGTGCTGTATGGATAACTATCAAACTCTAAGCGTTCAGTTGGACGTTCACTCTTACGTTACAAAGACAAATTGAAAGACAACTTGAAACGTCTCGACTTTGATCTGAAAACCTGGGAAGTCCAAGCATCAAACCGAAATGAGTGGCGTAAGACATTTTTGGTGGGACAAAGAGGGGAAATTCCATGCTATCAAAATCTGTAAAATCCAATTACCTGCAATGAAGTATTGTTCCGATTTTTCAGTAATACTTGCCAACTCTCCTCCGTGATGATGGCAAGTGACGCGGGCATCGAACCAACTCAGTTGTTCATCGGAGAAATGATAACAAAACTCCCTAGTTGGACCAATCTCCCACTCAGGACCACACCTGGGATCATAAACACCTTTGGAAATGGAAACAATAGTTTTTATTTAAATATGGATTTGGATTTCAGCCATATTGTAAAAAAGTAAAAGTATAAAACTGAATGTTATAAAACGCAGTCGACTAGGGCTGTTGGACAAACCCCATTTGCAGACACCTGTTCTGACACATTTGTGTTTGTTCAACAGAGCCCAATTTTGGTTTATACTGCAACTATGCTGTGCGGGCTTAGTTACAATTTCTGGTAGAGAGCGAGTTATCTAGTTTGATAAACATTCTGAACAAAGCCAGCACGCTCAAAGCCTCGGTCACTCGATGACTTGTGACTTCGTGCTAGCACAACCCGCCTCCCAAATAGTTCGTCACAAGGCTTGGGTCAACTCGTGGTATGGCTCCCCCTATCTACCCAATTTCGCTCAAAAGGCTTGGATCAACCCGTGGTATGATTTTATGCGAGCACAACCATCAACACTTCCCCAAAGAGTTCCATCGACCCAATTTCACTCACAAGGCTTTCCAAATGTGTCTCCCACCTCGACCTATAACATCAAAAAGTCACCTTCCAGACAAATTGATCAGTGAGATTCGAACCAGTGCCTCATAGTCAGAAAGCGAACTTTCTAACCACTCAGCTACATGACCTATGCACGTAATGTGCATGTAAATGTTAAACGTAAATTAAAAAGATAATTTTTAACATTATATAAATAATAGTATATGATATGATCTTTGCTAAATATTTATGCAGATGAGATTACAGTTTATGAAGATTAGGGACTGGCAACTGATCTCTCCTTTGACTTAGCTCTAACAGCTCAAACTGACTTGTAACTTTCAATACTTCTATCATCAAAATGTTTTATCGGCACTCCGAATTTTACACTTTTATTTTGCTTTGAATGACAATTAGCACACGAGCTCACCCACGGGTAGTGTTTCCCAATCTTTTTGCAACCAGTGCCCGCTTTGGGCAAAAAAAATTTTGTCAACGACCTCTCTGAAATTAAATTACGAAGATTATAGTGAATCCATTTTTCATAACAAGATTACACTTAGGTATTAGTGCAAAAATAATTTTAATGATGTTTTCATTTCTATTATAAACGTCAATGATTAAAATGCTAAAAAATCGCTTTTATTCCATAGCTTATCTCAATGTTTTCAATGTAATGGTTGACTTTGGTGCTTACTGGCTAAGGCTCTTACTCTAGGTTCTGCGTTGCTTAGAAGGTTATCATAGATCTCTTCGTTTTGTAATTTGCAGGCGGTTTCATTGTTTTGTAAGATGCAGTGTAACTTCGTTGAAACCACATTCAGCCATGTAAGAAGTTGGAAAAACAATAAAGAAAAGTTTAATTGCTTCCCACGGCATTAGCTACCTTTCAGAAATTTCCTTTTGTTGCCAATATTGAATAATTTTTGAAAATTTAAAAAAATTGGATAAATGCCCACCGTCCCCCTGAGTATGTTCACTGTACCCTCATGAAATAAAAACTCCTAGGCGCCCACGTTGGGAAACACTGCTCTAGAGTTTGCCGTTTAATTTAGAGTTGTCCTTCTCCAAGACTGGTTGCCAGCAGGTCGCGCTGTCACTAGCGAACGCACTCTACCCAATTGTTTAATTCATAGTTGGGAAAGAGATTCATGATTCTTCTCAATGACATTTGTGTGAAAGTGAATGCTACAGCGAACGACACAATTTGAACTCGACTCGCCGATTTCACTTTCGGCGCCGATCACCGTTACGCTACCTAACATATCATTTATTGTTTCATTAAAGCCAAAGACAAGATCAAAATGAATTAGTTTACAGAAATGAACTTACTTGGTTTGAAAGTCGTTGGTGGAGTCAGGGTCGGAGCGTTCTCTAAAGAAAAAGAAACATTTAAATTTAAAACAAACTTTTAATATTTCATTTTTTAAGCATTTCATCCGAAGCAAGGCGGGAGTGTCACTAGCACGCAAGGGTTTACAGAGAGTGAAAGTAAAAATAAAGAGGGAGGGGTTACAGAGAGTGAAAGTAAGTGTAAAGAGGGAGAGTTTACAGAGAGTGAAAGTAATAAAGAGGGAGGGTTTACAACGAGTGAAAGTAAGTGTAAAGAGGGAGGAGTTACAGAGAGTGAAAGTAAGTGTAAAGAGGGAGGAGTTACAGAGAGTGAAAGTAAGAGTAAAGAGGGAGGGATTACAGAGAGTGAAAGTAAGAGTAAATAGGGAGAAGTTACAGAGAGTGAAAGTAAGAGTAAAGAGGGAGGGTTTTACAGAGAGTGAAAGTAAGAATAAAGTGGGGTGTTTGAGAAAAGGATAAAGAGAAGGACTGGGATCAAGATCAGGGCATCAAAAAATGTCGATTGACCTTAAATTTAAATTTTTGAAGATTATAGTTATCAAGGAGACAAGTAAGAGGAAGGGAGTTCCACTGTCGGGAAGTGCGAGAGAAGAAACTGTTGGAGTAGAAAAGGCGGTTACATTTAACTGTTTCGACAGTAAACGGGTGGGATCGAGATGACATGCAGTAAACAAGCATTAGTGATTTCATGTTTAACATATGTAAATACAAGTCCACACAATTGATGCTTAATAGCAAAGTAGACGGTTTTAAATACTTACAAAATCCAAGTTTTTAAGATATTTCTAGGGTTAATTGATTTTCAGTATCGAATCTCTCACTGTGAAATAAGGTTACGCAAGTAATATTCTCCTAGTTTGTTTGCCAGCCAAGAGTAGACAGCCAAGTCTGTATTCTTATTTAACATATATATAGTTGGTTTGGAGTGAAGATAGATTTATACCTTTTCCGCGTGTAATTGTACGAAAGTAAATACAATGAAATCGGTCTGAATTTGAACTCAGCACGCCAACAATTACACCATCAGCAAATTCATTTTTATGATATTTTACACTATTTACATTGTTCAGACTATTGTCCACATCTTTATTGTTATATTCACAACGTTTCGACCATTGTACATATAGCAAAAGTAAATATAAATACACAATAGTGTTATTCTAAGTCAAAATTCCTAGCCTTTTTTAATGTGTTCGTGCATGTCTGTATGGATGTGCCTCTCTCTCTCTCTCTCTCTCTCTCTCTCTCTCTCTCTATCTATCTATCTATATATATATATCTCTCTCTCTGTGTCACCTTCACTATTCATCATTTTGTGTAAGTGGCATCAAGCAGTAACATCTAACAGTTTGTCGTAGTTGTTCATTTTCCTTATTTCTTGTCTGGCCAAATTACAAAAATTCACACGCGCGAGCGCGCACACATATGCACATATCATTAAAACTTTTAATTTTTTTCAAGTTTACTTTTTGTTTTTGTTTAATTAAACTCATTTAACATTATAATGAACAGAAAAATAAATTGAAACTCAAAATTTAAAGCTATGAAGGTTTCTGCTATATTTCAAGTCTGGATTATCATAATTTTCTTCAAAATCAAGCCAAATTAGATACATTTAAGTATTCCATATAAATGAATAGTAATGTTATTTTAAGTCAAAATTTCTAGCCTTTTTTAAATGTGTTTGTGTATGTTTGTATTAGTGTATGTGTGTCTCTCTCTCTCTCTCTCTCTCTCTCTCTCTCTCTCTCTCTGTCACCTTCACTATTTATCATTTTGTGTAAGTGGCATCGAGCAGTAATATCTAACAGTGCACACACGCACACACATACACACGCACACACACACACACACACACACACGCACGCACACACACGCACGCACACACACACAAACCATTAAAACTTTTAGATTTTTTTCGAGTTTACTTTTCGTTTTTTTTTATTTTTTTTTTTACTTTTTTAATATTATAATGAACAGAAAAATGAATTGAAAGTCAAAATTTAAAGCTATGTAGTTCACCTAATACAAGACATTAGAGGCACTCAAAGTAGAGGGTTGCTGAATGAGATTTTAAGGGAAGGGGGAAGTAAGATTATTATGAGGACAAGTAGGATAGAAAACGGTTGATCATGGACCAAGATTGTAATTATCAGGGAAGCATTTTGTTCTGCAAAGTAACAATTCTGGGGACGAAGTTCACTGGGTAGAACTTGCTTTTCATCATAGGAACACAGAAAGGATTTTTTTGCACCCCCTGGTGGAGGGTCCTAGCTGTGAAGTTCCGAGCAGGTCATGATAAGTATACTAAAAGCCCTAAAATTCTATATAATTAATAGAAGCCAGCGATCACTAGGTGGAAGGGCTCAATATTTGTGAGTAGAGATACCCTACCACACCTATATTTATAAACTTTACTATTAAAATGAGTGTGCTGAAAATGATATCGGGAAAGATTTCCTTAAGTTTATCAACATCTATATTTGACAATGTATTAATAAAAACGACATTGTTATTTACGTGAGATGTCCTCATCTTTGTTGCTTGGCTGTTTCCCCCTCCGCCCTTCATTCGGTGTTTGTCGATCAGGGTCACCTTCAAGGAATTTGAAACTGAACCCTTTATTTAATATCCGTCGGTAAATTGTTCTCGTTCCGCGGACAATGTTCAGGGGAGATAACTTGTCTAGTTCTTATTTAGTACTGCTCCATTATTGCTCACTCCATTTCAGCTGAATCCAGGTATATACTGCCTGTTCCATGTAGCAACACTAGTAAATTATCTCACCTGATGAAAGCCAGAGGGTACAAGGGCCGAAAATAGAATTACTGAAGATTATAAATCAGCTGCTAAGAAAGTTGGTTCACGATTTCGTGCGAGACAATTTTCTCTCCAGAATTTACCTTACATATCTATAAAACTATCATTCGTCTATGCTTAGAATATTACTGCCACATATATGCTGCTCCTGTTATTTACCTTGAGCTCCTTGATAAAATCCAAAGAAGAATCAGCAATATTATTGGTCCTGATCTGGCGGCTCGGCTTAAGTCACTTTCCCACCACAGTATGGTTGCCTTTATGTGTCTTTTCTATAAATATTTTTATGTAATTGTTCTGATGAGTTATTTGCTATGACACCTAGAGTTTTTAAATTTAAGCGCAGTACTAGATTGGCGTTTAGGTCTCATCAATTTACGGTTGAGCTGACTAGATGTAGCCATAAATTCTATGCTAACAGTTTCTTCTCTCGCTCTTTTTGAACTACCTTCCGGCTGCATGCTTTCCAGCCGACTTTAATCTGCAAAAATTTTAAATGCAATGTCAATCGCTATCTACTGTCCCAATGATTACCTTTTCTACTTCCGACTCATTATTAATATTTCTATTCCTAATTCTTTCACACCTAGTAACCCCTTGCGTCTTGGTGGCTTTATTGCCTTGTATGGGGTGATACCAATTAAAAAAAATCGATAAAAATTATTATTGCTATTTGTCTGCTACCTGAATTTCTGGGATGAAGAGTTATCATTATTTAAAAGGGGCTGTTGTTCTCATCTTTATTATTATGATCACAACATTTCGGCCACTGTGCAGTACGGCCTTCATCAGGTACTTGCCAATTTGGGTAAACGAACCCTTTATTTAATTTATAGGGGTAGATTGTTCTCGTTCCACTGCCCATGTCTAGGGATATCGTCTTTTTTTCTTATTTACTATTGCTTAGTTATAGCTCTCCCCTTTTCCACTGAGCCCATGTTTGCACAGTCCTGCACTGGGATTGAACCAGCACTTCAATGCACTACGTTATTATTCCACCTAATGAAGTCAGATTGTACAATGGTCGAAACGTTGTGATAATAGCGAAAGGTGAAATTAAGTAGGAGGGCAAAATTCAAATATATGACGAAATAGATGGAATGCCTAATAGCTGAAAATTACAAATCTTTGCACATCAATAAAAAATAATTTTGTTATTCGTCTGCTAACTTGAAATTTATATAAAATTATTTACATTATGGTGACAAATGCGTTTCGATACAGACACAAAAGAAGCGCTGGATCACGTGTGGACATGTTTGTCAACACCGGTTGCATCCGGGTTTTCCCTGTTAGCAGCGGGACACCTTGGCCTCTTTACAATTGGTCAAGATCCAAGTCTTTGTAAGATGCCTCATGATAATAAAGGCAGCGGAATAACCAGCAGTTGGTAACATACGGTGTCTTGTGAAGTCGGTCCCGTGGGAACTTTGTTCCTAAAGTTGCTGTAGTTTTAGAGGCAGTATCATTTTTGTTATCTCCCATCTCTTTCCTTTCTCTCCCTTTTACCCCCGTAGTTGGCGGGAGAGAGCAATCGGTTACGTGTTTCCCTCCCAATCGCAACAAACTCTTTGCTTACATTACAACAATTATTTACGTGTGAACAGTTGCCCACATTTTTGTTGCTATTATTTCGACAACAAAAGAGATATTTTGTCCTGGGTATGACGATAAACTACATCCACGTCCAGGGTAAGACGATAAACTACATCCAACAGCAAGGCCTCTGATCAGAAGGCTTTGCAGAGCGTGGAACCGCCTCTTAATTGCTGATGTTCCCAGGTTCGCCCTGACCCGGGGTGGTAGCACCTGTTAGGATCCCAGCTATGGGCAGATAGTTAACCCAGAAACTGAGGTAAAAAGCATTATGAAAGTGTAAAAATAGGTCTTAATACCAGAAATACTTTGTAAAAAATTATTACCAGAAATAAATTTTTGAAGGAAAAAAATATATTACCAGCAATATATTTTTTAAAATAATATTAGCAGCTATACATTTTTGAGGAAAAAATATTACCAGAAATAGACTTTTGACAAAACAAAAATATTACGAGGAAAAAATTTGTCGGCATTAAATGACCCATTGAGGTTGATAAGCCGTAAAACAAAATAAACAAACCAAACCAAAAGAGATATTTTAAAACAAAGAGCAAGGAATTAAAAGACATTTTTATAGTTACTGTAGACGGTAAATCAAAAAG